GCGTGACTCAATTATCGTCTCCATTATCCTCACCTACATTGTGTCTCATTCTTTCGGGTCATGTATCTGGCTTAAGTCATAACTGCTGGTGTGAAAATAAAACGCTTCCATTTTTCTTCTTCAATCGCGAAGAGCACACCTTTCCCCATTCGACATTTCCATCTAACCCTAGGATACTTTGATGGTGTCCCTGTGTGTGTCGGTTGGTGTCTTCTGTGGTCAGGCCTGCCATCATCCGACGCAGAAATCAAAATTGCATGCTATGCCTACGCGCACACACTGATGACCTCTATCTAGCTCATCTATACATTTAGCATTTAATTGCATGTCCTATATTTCGCAGGTGAATTCCATGGATTAATTTATGGCCAATTCCATGTCTGATTCTTCTCACTGCGGTCGCCTTTACTTGACTTCCCTTTGTTCCTCATAAGCCGCTTCTTGTTGGACAGCTGTCCTGGGTCCAAGAGTCTTCTTTTTGATATATTCGTTGAGTCTGCTGCTCAGACAGCACTTGAAAATATCGCTGACTTCTCTCTTCTAATCTCCTGCTCATCACGTTTCTTTGGAAATGGATGTCCGCAGCCTCCCTGATCTTCCGTTTCCTGATGTTTTCACCTGTGAATTAAGTAATTCCGTTGCATTCCAGTCAGTTTTGTGTCCGGTAAGGACGATGTGTTCAGCTTTCTCCTATCTTTCTCTATCCATTTTTCTGCATAGTCGCTGGTGTTATCTGATCCTTGTGCTGATTGTCTTTCCTGTCTGAAGTATTTTTGTTCACAGTTCTTGCCATTTATGCTGTAAACTCCGGAGCACTTCATTTTATCGACTTCTTCATGTGTGGACAAGCTGGTGAAGAGGGCTGTCCTTCCCTTCAGAATTGTACGAATATTCCGTTTCCCTAGTATTGGCCGTAAGCTTCCGAGCCCATGGGTAGACATATCCATAATTTTTCTTCTGCTCTTGATTTTCTCTCGGTATCCGTCCTTCCACTCGTTTATCACCATCCGTACATTGCATCGAATTGTTTCTTCTTAATAACCGTTTCCAAGGCACATCTGAGTCTTCTCAAAATTCAGAATCAATGAGTCGTAAGCTTCTTATTATCATGCTCCGAATTATTCCTATCTTCATCCCATAAATATAGTTAGACTAAAAGTTAAGAGTTATTCCAGCATGCGATTTTCTCGGAAAAGTTCTTTATTGAAATTTTCCTCGGATCGAATGACCTCCACATCCAAGAACGGTAAGTGCCCGTCCTCTTCCACGTCCATGGTAAATTTGACTTTTTCATCCATTTCGTTTATGAAGATCAGGAAATCGTGTAATTTTTGTCTTCCAATCGACCAAATTTCGAAGTTATCATCCAAATATCGCATACTGTTGGCTGCTGAGACTACATTTTGAAATTCTTCTCCAATTTGTCCATGAATGCATTAGCCAACAAAGATGCGAGCTGTGAGCCCATAGACAGACTAAATTCTTTCTCATAGATGAATGTTAAATAAGTCGTTCTTGTTGGTGGGTTGATTAATCGAGTTAGGGATTCTACGTATTCGTTCTATCCTCAGGATGTAATTTTTCTTTTCTAAGATCTCCAGTAGTTTGATGATTGCTTTTTAACCTGTTATGTTATTGTATATGGACCCTACATCAAAGCTTATTAAAAGTTCGTTTCCTTCTAACTTTGCGCCTTTGATTCTTTGGCAGAAAGTATGAGTTCTTCAATGTATTCGCTAATCTGCCATTCACTTTCTTTAATTTGAGGCAGATATATTTCGCCAATTTGTTCGTCGATCCATGTTTATTGTTGATTATCAGTCTCAATGGTTCTCCTTCATTGTGTACCTTCGGCAAACCATATGCTACTGGTCCTCTGGCATCCTTAAGTATAAGTGAGTTCATTGTCCATTTGTCGATTTATCCGTTCATATTCATTTCCTTCACAATTTCCTGCAGTGCCCTTCGGATTTTAACTGTCGGGTCTTTTGTTACTAGTCTATACATTGTAGTGTTCAATTTTCTCTGTATATTCCTTCCTGACCACTGTGACACCTTTATCTGCTTGAAGGACTATTTGATCGTTTATGTTAAATTCCCTATATATCTTTGTTATATTGTTCCTGTTGGTTCTTGATGCGCCAAAATTATTGGGATGATTTCCATTTCC